AGAAGAAGGGAGAGAGGGACAGTGAGACAGAAACATAAATGATGAGAGAGAATCATTGATCGGCTGCTTCCTGCACTCCCCACACTGGGGATTGAGCCCACAACCTGGGCATATGCCCTGACCAGGAATCGAACTGTGACCTCCTAGTTCATAGATCGACACTTTACCACTGAGCCACACTGGCCAGGCGAAACCTATGTAATTTTATTGACCAGTGTAACCCCAGTAAATTCAATTTAAAAAAGAAAACAATAGCCCTGGCTGGGTAGCTCAGTTGGTAGAGTGTTGTCCTGATAAGCCAAGGTTTCTGGTTCGATTCCCCGTCAGGACATATACAGAAATCAACTAAAGAACGTATAAATAAGTAGATCAACAAATGGATGTTACTCTCTCCCTCTCTCTCTCACTCCCCTCTCTCTCTAAAAAAATTAACTAAAAATTTTTAAAGTTTCTTTAAAAAGAATAATAATAACTAAAAATAATAAAATAAAAATAATAAAAAACAAGGACATTTAAAAAATTAAGTTCCTTGTCTTTTATAAATTTAATGCATGCCAACTATTTAGATTAACTGTGTGAACATCCACAAATACTGAGTTAATTGTATGGTCTTTTCAAGGTAGGAGTTCCTAGAAGAAGTGAGTTTTCAGCAGATTTGAAATATGTAAACAATATGAATTGGTAGAGAAGAGAGGATAGGTTATCCCAGCCGGAGAAGCGATTTGGGAGATTGATTTCTGTCCTCTCTCCACTGCAGTGAGAATTTCTAATTTGATGCGAGTATTAGGAACAGAAGCTGTTCAAGACCCCACGAAGGTAGAAGCCCATGTCAGAGCTCAGATGGCAAAAAGACAGAAGTAAGTGCCATGGGGTTGGGTGGAAACCCAGGGCAGGTATTTTTCCCCAAACTTTACTGGGGGATCCACATTTGAAGGGAGGGGAGAGTCCTCCGTTGCTCTCTCTTTCCCTCAGCCCTGCCTCTGATCTTCAATGCCTTTCTCACTTGTGGATGTCCTTCCTGTCACGACAGAGCGCATGAAGAGGCCAACGCTGCCCGAAAACTTACAGCAGAACAGAGAAAGGTCAAGAAAATTAAAAAGCTTAAAGAAGACATTTCACAGGGGGTACACATATCTGTATATAGGTAGGTGTTCAAACTGGCAGCCTTTCCCTTAGAACATTTCCAAGTCCTTGAGGCAGAATCACTGTGGTCTAAAAGCATACCTAACATCAGCCCCTACTCCTTAAATGACCTTAGTGTAAAGAGTTAGTAAATCTTTTACAATGGTGAGGGTTAAAGGCTTACTCTTCTGTGTCTGAGGCTTCTTAGTGGACCAGTAATATTTCTGAAGAATGAATGAGTGAGTATATCTGTTCAGGCTAAGATGTGAACTAAAGATCATCTATGATTTTTGAAGCATAAAATACCCTATTTCTCCAGGAAGCATTAAAAGTTTCTTCAGTAACTATATCCTTATCCTGATGTATTGCAGTAACCTTTTACCGATATTCCCACTCCAAAATGCACTTTATACAGTGTAAATATTTTTTACCTTTGTGTTGATTTAATGTTTTTATTCTCTTACATTGAGTACCTGTGTGTCTTCTATTTTTTTAATGTTTTAGTAACTAGTTCTTTATTATAAAAGTGATATATTTATTATAAAAGTAGTGAATCCTTGTTCAGATTAGAACAAGGGGAAGTCCCCTTCCTATTCTCTATCCCTTAGGACCGTTCACTATAGATAATTGCTACTAACAGTTTTTCATGTATCCTAGAAATTTTTTATGGACAGCATTGTAACTAAATTCTAAGCATCTAGAGTAAATTTTGATTACATGTTATTTGTTTTAAGGTAGAGTGCTAGACTTTGGAGAAGTATAAGACAGTAGAAATATGTCTAGACTCATCAGTTCTACCTTTTAAGCATTAGTATACTAGTATTTGCTTACTCCAAAGACCTTTGTTTTTAGACAGAAAATCATTTTGGATTCATCTTTTTATTTGCCATTCCATTCAGGCAGCTACCGATGCTAAAATGAAAGCCATAACTAAACTTTCCCTTCTCCAGAGTTCGAAATTTGAGCAACCCAGCCAAGAAGTTCAAGATTGAGGCCAATGCTGGGCAACTGTACCTGACAGGGGTGGTGGTACTGCACAAGGATGTCAACGTGGTAGTAGTGGAAGGGGGTGAGTCTGAAAAAATTGAGGGAGATTGTCCCCAGGCAACCCTGTGCCTTGAAGTGATTAGCATGGTGGGAGAAAGGAGAAAAAGATACTATTTTAGAACCATACCTGGGTATAATATCCTGGGCCTCTGCTTTGTGTTAATTGGAGTAAAAGGCCCTAAGATATGATTCCTGGGATTGCTTCAGCTACCATATTAATGTCAGCATTGAATGAGCTCAGAGGTTATTTTCTACCCCACCATCTTCCACAATTTTGGCAAAACTCTTCTTTTCTGTTTCCAGGCCCAAAGTCCCAGAAGAAATTTAAGCGTCTTATGCTGCATCGGATAAAGTGGGATGAACAGACATCTAACACAAAGGGAGATGGTGAATGGGGGTTAGAGGGGATTAAGTGGGAGTTGGGGTGGTATTGTGTCCACTCATCAATTCCCCTCCTGACGTTCTTGCTAACACTGGATAATGTTCAGGAATTTTAGAAAGACCCATTAGGACTATGAATATGCTAGACATTCATACATGGTCATGTGTGCATTGTCTATTTTATCCTTTATTTTAAATCCTCACTTGAGGATGTTTTTATTGATTTTAGAGAGAGGGAGAACCATCCATTGGTTGTTCCTGTTTGGGATTGAACCACCATTTAGGCATGTGCCCTGACCAGGAATCAAACCCACAACCTTTTGGTGTGTGGGACCATGCTCAACTGACTGAGCCACATGGCCAGGGCTGTTTTTTAATTTTTTTTTTTTTAAGGGGTGGAGGGAGAGAGAGAGAAAAAAACATCAATTTGTTGTTCCATTTATTTATGCATTCATTGGTTGATTCTTGTATGTGCCCTGACTGGGGATCAAACCTGTAACCTTGAATGATGCTCTAACCTACTAAGCTACCCAGCCAGGACCTTGTCTGTGTTGTTTGTGTGTGTGTGTTTAATTTGAGAGAGAAACATTGATGTGAAAGAGAAACGATCAGTTGCCTCCCTACGTGTCCTGACCAGGAATCGAACCTGAAACCTTTTGGTATATGGGACAATGCTCCAACCAACTGAGCCACCCAGCCAGGGCTGTATTATTTTTTGATAAAAAAATTTTTAAGGGGTTGAAGGCAAAAAAAAAAAAAAAAGATTTTCAGATCAAAAAAGCTTCCTGCTTTGTTCAAGAAAATGTACTTTTCATTCTTTTCCCAACTTATCTTATCAAATATGTATATTTGAAATCCTCTTGGCCACCATTCTTCCATCAGTATTCATTATTTTCTTTGAAAACTTTGGTTGGCATTTAACATACAGAGAGCCTTATTTTTTTTACTTTATTTTACCTAACATTTTGGTCTTAAAGTATTTTTTAAACTTACAAAGTTTATTTTTTTAAAAAATATATTTTTATTGGTTTCAGAGAGGGAGTGGGAGAGAGAAACATCAATGATGAGAGAGAATCATGGGTCTGCTGCCTCCTGCACGTCCCCTACTGGGGGCCAAGCCTGCAACCTGGGCATGTGCCCTGACAGGGAATTGAACCGTGACCTCCTGGTTCATAGGTCGATGCTCAACCACTGAGCCATGGTGGTGGGGCACAAAGTATATTTTTTACTATAATTGACCTATATTTTGTTTCATAAGTGTTCCTATTTTTGTTTGATATATCTGCCCTCCTCCATTAGACTAAAACCTCCTTGAGAATGGACTCTTATGTTGGCATATGAAGCCTGGCTCTCAAAGTGCTCATGACAAGTTTTTATTTTTAATTGTTCGTTTTATTTATCTACTTATTCCCAGTATCTGGCACAACTCTTGACACATAGTAGGTGCTCAATAAATGTTTGTTGAATTAACTAATTTTCCTGCCTATTTAAAGCTTTCAGCCAGAACCGGTTTGGCTCAGTGGATAGAGCGTCGGCCTGCGGACTCAAGGGTCCCGGGTTCGATTCCTGTCGGGGGCATGTACCTTGGTTGGGGGCACATCCCCAGTGGGGGCGTGCAGGAGGCAGCTGATCGATGTTTCTCTCTCATTGATGTTTCTGGCTCTCTATCCCTCTCCCTTCCTCTCTGTGGAAAATCAATAAAATATATATATATAAAAAAAAAGCTTTCAGTCTAATTTGGGGTAAAGAGAAACAGAAGACATTTGATCCCAACTCATGGTAAAGGGTGACAATATTTAAAATAATTTGGGTAGATTTGAACATTGTTTGTTTAGAACCTAAATTTTGGTCTCTAGTCTATATCTAGAGCAAGACTTAGCTATATTGTCTTTTCCAGATGATGAGGAATCTGATGAGGAAGCTGTGAAGAAAACCAACAAATGTGTACTAGTCTGGGAGGTAGGTGATTCTTTTTTTTATTTAATATATTTTATTAATTTTTTTTACAGAGGGGAAGGGAGAGGGATAGAGAGTTAGAAACATCGATGAGAGAGAAACATCTATCAGCTGCCTCCTGCACACTCCCTACTGGGGATGTGCCGGCAACCAAGGTACATGCCCTTGACCGGAATCGAACCTGGGACCCTTGAGTCCGCAGGCTGACGCTCTATTCACTGAGCCAAACCGGTTAGGGCAAGGTGATTATTAAACACTGAAGCAGAACTTTAATTCTTGATTGTTTGTACTATTCAAATGGAGTGATGGAATGGTAAAATTAAGTAATGACTAATCCCTTAAGTAATTTGTGTTTCTTGATTTTTGGGGGGAGGGGGGAGGGAATTTATTGTTAAATGTTTGGTAGCAAATTCTAACTCATTATATTTTAGTTAAATTGAAGATCATGTTAGTATCTGCCATCTGGAAAAGAGTATGGAAAACCAGTGGCAAGATCACAAATTCTCAGTTGAGCTATTTCATGGTCACAGATGAGGCCTGTAAAGAGGGAAGGTAATTGTTGGGTTTTCCTTTGGACGGACACAGTAAAAGAAACACTGAACTTAATATAAAGCTGGGGAGTCTGGGCAGTACTACTTATTAGCTGTGCAACTGGGTGAGGCATGTTTAACATCCAATACTATTTTATGTAAATGTAATTTTTCCCTCCCTATTGTCAGGTATTTTGTTGTTTGTTTGAGAACCTAATTAGATTATTTATGTAATTGTACTTTGTTCATTGTAACTAAATCACTCTTCAAATAGAACTTTTTTATGATTATACAGTTTTTTCATTCCTGAAATCTTAGTGAAGCAGTATTAGTTCTGAAGAATGAATGAATGAATATGCTTATTCAGACCAATTTGTGAAGTAAGCATTGTTCTCCTGTTTTGAAGCATAAAATATCCTATTTCTCTAGGAAACATTAAAAGTTTTTTTTTTCTCAGTAGCTATCTGTGTCCTGATATAGTACAATAATCCTTTTATTCCCACTCCAAAATAGACTTTATACATTGTAAATATTTTTACCTTTGTGATTATTGTTTTCATTTTGTTCTTCTGTATTGAGTTCATGTGTACCTTCTATTTTTTATTTTTATTTTTTAATATATTTTTATTGATTTCAAAGAAGAAGGGAGAGGGAGAGAAAGATAGAAACATCAGTGATGAGAGAGAATCATCAATTGGCTGCCTCCTGCAAGCCCCACAATGGGGATCAAGCCCGCAACCTGGCATGTGCCCTTGACTGGAATCGATTTTGGGACCCTTCAGTCCTCAGGCCAACACTATATCTACTGAGCCAAACCAGCTAGGGCAATTTTTTAAATGTGCTCATGTATAGTAACTAGTTCTGTATTATAAAAGTAATGTTCTACAAAAGCAGTGAATGCTTATTAAAATAAATTCTAGCCCTAACGGGTTTGGCTCAGTGGATAGAGCGTCGGCCTGCGGGTTGAAGGGTCCCAGGTTCGATTCCGGTCAAGGGCATGTACCTTGGTTGCAGGCACATTCCCTGTAGGGGGTGTGCAGGAGGCAGCTGATCGATGTTTCTCTCTCATCAATGTTTCTAACTGTCTATCCCTCTCCCTTCCTATCCCTCTCCCTTCCTCTCTGTAAAAAATCAATAAAATATATTTTAAAAAAATAAAAATAAAATAAATTCTAACAAAGAAAAGCACTTACTGAAATAGTTCCCTTTTGATTCCCTGATTCTTTAAGACCACTCTTTTATTGGTAATTGCTACTAATTGTTTTTCATGTATCCTTCGTTTTTGTTTTTGTCTCATAAGTCCCCACCTGCATATTTAATATCCCGCCTTTTCATCTCTTCCATTTATCTGAGTGTCCTCAGAAATTGTGTCTCAGGTTCAAAAACAAGCCAAGTTCTGCTCTAGACTCCTTATTGGAGTCTTATCCCTGGAAGTCTCTTGAGGTAGCACTTTCTGACTTGTTGCTACTGGTGCCTTTTGTGAGAATGCGCTTCCACCCAGTGTCTTTTTCTATTGCAGTTCTCTGGAGGTCGTCCCCCTGGCTCCCTTTTCCCTCTCCCCCTTGTCCCTCTATTCTTCGTCACTGGGCCCCAAAGCCTCCTTCTTGTACACAGGGTCTCACTAAGTCTTGTGAAAAGAGTCCTTTTGGCCTCTGGTTCCCTAACACCTTTGTCCTAAAAAGACCAAATTTAGTCTTTGAGGCCTGGTGGGAGACAAGTTCATCCCATCTCACCATCCATAGTCCTTCCAGACTTGCTCTTCCACCCAAGCACCAGAGCACAGAACTCCTCTTTTTCCACTCAGTCAAAAAAGACCAACAAACCCGTATGCATAAATTCATGAAAACTCATGCAACATCCAAGGAGGTGGAGATTAGAATTTCTTTTTACCATCAAATCATATTCAGCTAGGCACATTGCTACACAAGTGCTTAGGTTTTATGAAAGAATATCTGATTTAAACTAGAAATTGCAGTGTCGTTATTACAAATTTTGTCTCTTTCTCAGGGTACAGCCAAAGACCGGAGCTTTGGGGACATGAAGTTCAAACAGTGCCCTACAGAGAACATGGCTCGGGAGCATTTCAAAAAGCATGGGGCTGAACACTACTGGGACCTTGCGCTAAGTGAATCGGTGTTGGAGTCTACTGACTGAGACTACTGCCAGCCCTTGCCTCCACCCTCTTGCCTATGTCTCTTTAGTCCTCTCCCTTATGCTACTTCCCAACCCAGCCCACTTGTGTGTGTGATCTCAGAACGGTGCCAAGCTGACATTGGGACAAAGGGAGAACACATTGCTCTCTTCCCCTGTCGGCCTGGTGCTGCCCTTTACTCCCCTTATGTGTATATGATTAAAGAGTTATTTTTAAAATTTGTATGATATTTTTCATACACTCATAGGTATTGGAGTTTGGGTCTTCAGGTGATCTTTTCTCCAGACTCCTAGCAATTGCTGTGGAAAAAGAAAATTTTGCCCTTGAAGCTTATGTATATATGAATGAATGAAAGGATGAATGGGTATATATTTTTGAGGTCTAATGGAAATTTTCTGGCCTCATCTTGGAGCAAGAGTGCTAAAACGGTTTTCCTGGAGCAGAGTGAAGCAAAAAGAGGTGTTAAGTAGGTGAGGGGGAAACAAATGAATGTCCATCTCTCAGCCTTCAATAGAGTCAGGAGGTAGACAGATTACTTCTGGTCTTGGCTAAGTAGTCATTTAAAAAAATATTTTATTTTAGCCCTAGCCGGTTTGGCTCAGTGATAGAGCATCAGCCTGCAGACTAAAGGGTCCCGGATTTGATTCCGGTCAAGGGCACATGCCTGGGTTGCGGGCTCGATCCCCAGTGTGGGGTGTGCGGGAGGCAGCTGATCAGTGATTCTCTCTCATCATTGATGTTTCTATCTCTGCCTCTCTGAAATGAATAAAATATATATATACATATATATATATTAAAAGTCTTTGTTCAAAATTTTTTTTATTTTAAAATGTTTTTATTGATTTTTAGAGAAAGAGGAAAGGAAAGGAAGAGAGAAAGAAACATTGATCGGTTGCCTCGTATGCACCCTAACCAGGGATTGAACCCACAACCTGGACATGTTCCCTGACCAGGAATCAAACTGGTGACCTTTCAGTGCATGGTACGACACTCAACCAACTGAGCCACACTGGCCAGGGCTAACTATTTTTAGCAGGAAATGAAGTGGATGCAGAGGGAACATTGAAGGAGGATATTATGGGTCAATTTGTAAAGTGGAATGGGAATTTAGCGTTATTTCCTCTTTTTACTGATTTTAAAAAATCCACAATCCTTTTCCCACTGATAGGTCTTCAGAGGCAATAATGCATAGAGCCATCATCTATGATAACAATGCCTTCTGAATTTCTTCCTGAAGGACCAACCTTTTAATGATGGGATCCATGTTTTTAAACTTTCAATACTCAGTCAGTTTCTCAGGAATCATCTCTAGAAGCTCCTCAATGTCATGCTCATCTACACCCAGGTTAAAGTTGTTTACTATTTCAACCATAGCCTTGTTGATTTTTGTTTTGTTTTTTTAATCCTCACCTGAGGATATTTTTTCCATTGATTTTTAGAGAGAGTGGGAGAGAGAGGAAAAGACAGAAATATCGATGTGATAGAAACACATCTATTGGTTGCCTCCTGCACGAGGCCCGACCAGGGCCCGGGCCAGGGAGGAGCCTGCAACCAAGGTACGTGTACTTGACCAGAATCGAATCCAGGACCCTTTGGTCTGCATGCTGATGCTCTGTTCCCTGAACCAAACGGGCCAGGGCACCTCGATGATTTTTATAACCTCCTTATCCTTGGGAAACACTTTCACATCATAGATGAACTTCTTTAGTGTCTTCTTAAAGGATGCTGTTCATACACTCCTTTGTTACCTCACCCCAAGCCCAAGCCAAGTCCTTGATGCAGTCATAGATGTAATTCTTCCCGAATTGCATTAGTGTCTTCTCAGTGTCTTCCTCAGTTGCAGCAATAGCCTGGGAAAAGGTCCTCTTCAGGTAGTAGCCCTTAAAAGCTATTGTAACTCCTTGATTCATTGGTTGGATCAAAGAGATAGTGTTTGGAGGGAGAAACACCATGTTGCTATTGAGATGAAGATCACCAATAAAAAGAGGATGTCTGGGAGCACTATCAACAGTAAGCAAAATCTTGAAAGGTATATTCTCCAAATAGTATTTCTCTATTTTTCTGGTATAGCAATTCAGGAAGAGCTGGTCATCCATGACTTGTTACTGCTTCTGTAGTACACTGGCACTGTATGCTTTTTGATATGCTTGAAGGCCATGGTGGTCTCACTTTGCCAGATCAAAGGGAAAAATATACTTGGGTGAGGTTTAACAACAAAAACTAAATAGGTAGGTGGTGTGGAGAGCTACCATATGACCCGGCAATCAGGGGTATCTACCCAAAACGTTTGAAAACATTTATTCATGAACATATATGTACCTCTATGTTTATTGCAGTGTTATTCATAGTGACTAAGACGTGGTTAAAGCCTTGTCCTAATAACGCCAAGGTTGTGGGTTCAATTTCTGGTCAGAGATATTTTTCTCCACTACAGTTCTGTCTAGAACCTCACTTCCTGGGCAACCTCATCCATCTCATCGTTTTAAAGATCCATCTATATACTGAAAATTTTTAAATTTATATTTTCTACCTAGACCTCTCATGAATTTCATACTTACATATTTAATGCCATTTATGTGTCTGATAGCTCAAACTCAAGATATCCGTACCTGAAATCCTGATTCCTACTCATTTTTCACATGACTGCTCCTTTCCCTCTTTCCTCCCCTAGTTCATCTGAGAAAATGGCCATTTCATTCTTCTAGTTCATACATATTTCCTCTAAGTTCATTCAGTTCTTTGGTTGTCTGGGTCCTTTAGCTGCCCTTCAACTTAGGGTCTTCCTGAGCTGCGTAGAAAGACCTATCACCTTCTGGGACCAGGAAGGTAACAGAGGTGGTGGTCCTTGTCCCAACATACACACCCCACCCTTTGGGGCTTAAATGTTCTAAGACTTCTAGGGGTACAAACCTGTATCTTCTAAGGGTACAAACCTGTATCTTCAAGATTTATAGCTCATTATTCTCCCCTTGACTAGCATGAACTTTAAACTCATTTGCAGTGTTCTTAGATTCCAGCATTTCCCCTGGAAACTCTTCTGTTTCTGTTTCTCTCCAGTGGGCCTATGACTGCCCCCCAGTTTCCCCTCCAGGGCCTGGGGCTTCTCCTCCACCCTTTCCTTGTCTGGATTATTCCAACAGCCTCCTTAACTAAGTGTTTCTGAAGTCTTGTTTTTTTTAATCTTCACCCAAGGAGGGCAGATATTTTTTTCCATTGATTTTTAGAGAGAGGAAGGGAGGGTTAAGGTGGAATGGAAAGAGAGAAAGAAACATCAGTGTGAGAGAGATACATTGATTGGTTGCCTCACCCATTTGCCCCCACTGAGGGCAGGGATCAGGGATCGAACCTGCAACCTAGGCACTTGCCCTTGACCTGGGATTGAACCCATGAGCCTCTGGTGCACAGGGAGACACTCTAACCATTGAGCCATGCCAACCAGGGCTCTGAAGTCTATTTTCTTTTTTTTCTTCTGAAGTGTATTTTCAACAGCAACCAATGTGATCTTTATTTTTTTTTATTTTATTTTTTTTTTTTGGAGAGTGGGAGGGGGAGAGACAGAGAAACATCCATGTGAGAGAGACACATCAATTGATTGCCTCCTTCACTTGTTCCATCCAGGGCCCAGGCCAGGGAGGAGCTTGCAACTGAGGTACATGCCCTTGACTGGAATCGAACCCAGGACCCTTCAGTCACAGGCCGCTCTATCCACTGAGCCCAACCGGCTAGGGCCCAATGTGATCTTTTAAAAATATTTCCCATGTAATTTTTCTGCTTAAAACTCTGCTTAGAGGGGTTCCCATCTCAGAGTTAAAAGCCAAAGCCCTTATAGTGACCACTTAGACCTCTACCACTTATCCGCTCTCCTCTTCTAGCCACACTGGCCTCCTTGTTCTTTCTCTAATATGTCAAGACATTCCCATTTTAGGGCCTCTGCACTTGCTGTTTTTTACAGAGAGGAAGGGAGAGGGATAGAGAGTTAGAAACATCAATGAGAGAGAAACATTGGTCAGCTGCCTCCTGCACACCCCCCACTGGGGATGTGCCCGCAACCAAGGTACATGCCCTTGGCCAGAATCGAACCTGGGACCCTTGAGTTCGCAGGCTGATGCTCTATCCACTGAGCCAAACCGGTCAAGGCTGCACTTGCTGTTCTTTCTGCCCTTCCCCCATATCTGCTTTATTATCTTGTTATCAACATTCAGATTGACAAGGAGAAAATTATGAGATAACCTAAATTAAACTACAGCAGGCCAGAGGGTGGAAGGAAGAGACAATTAGAGGTTAAGCAGTTAACATCTGTAGTGCAAAACTAACAAAAGACTGCTTGTACTCAGTGTACTTGGGACTTCTGGGTGACTATTTCCAAATTATCTAAAAAGAGAATAGCTAGTTTGACCAATTTCTTACCTCCCCCATCCCCATTTTGAACCCCAGGAGTCTCTGCTTCTTGTTTACACATGAGTTTTACAGACTCTTGTGGACTCCGCTGCTGCTATCCCAGCTTCACCTTCTCCCATCCCCTTTGTCTATAGCTAACGTAAATTATTTAAGAAGGATTTGTTTTGTTTTTTTGTTTTTTAAATTTCTTTATTGGTTAAGGTATTACAAATGTGTCCTCATCCCCCCATTAGCCCCCAACCTCCCCCCCCCCCCACCCGTGTTCTCATCCCGCCGTTGTCCATGTCCATTGGTCTAGGTTATATG